CTGAATGTCTGCCCTGGGATTTCCCTTTCACCCTTATCCTAGAAATTCCTTTTGCTTCTCTCTTACATTGAATCTTCTGTTTCTAGGACTCTCTGCCCCCCCCCCCCCTTTTGTGGTTTAACTTATTTTGGTTTCAAATATCCTTCATAGCTTCCTGGGAGAGGATGGTAAATTTTTTAATCTTTCATGTTTGGAAACACTTTTACTCCCATCTGATAGCTTGGTATAGAGTTCAAGGTTGGAAATAGTTTTCCCTCACATAAGGAACTTTATTTTTTTCTAGCTTCTAGTTATTCTGTTGAGAAGTTGTATATGACCCAGTTTTCATCTCAAAGCTTTAGAGTCTTTATCCCTGGCTTCAGAAATGGTGTGTGCATTGCTGATCATCTTTTTTGCTTTTATTGTTCTGGCTACTTCATGGACCCTTTCGATCTAAATATAGGTACTCCTATTCTGCAGTGCTAGAATTTTCTTTTCATCATTATCACAATCATTTCTTCCCCTCCACTTTATCTTTTTGGGGGCCTCCTGTGTTAGTTGTTGGCTATCCAGTAGTGATCCTCTGATTTTCTTGTTTTTTTTTTTTTCTCTTCAGTCTTGTCCATTCTGTGAGTTCCTCAACTCTAAATTCTTTCTGCTGCTTTTTCTTTTATTTTTCAGTTTAAATACAGCAAAATCAGCATTTTTCTTGTATAGTTCTGTAAATTTTGACAAATGTATAATTGTGTAACCACTACTACAATCAAGATACAAAATACATCACCTCCATACATCCCCTTTCTTCCATCCGTTTGCAGTCAGGCTTTTCCTACAACCCTAACTACTGGCAGCAACTGATCTGTTTTCCCTTTCTATAAGTTTTATCTTTCCCAGTTTGTCATAAATGCAGTCATACAGTATGTAGCCTTTTGAATCTGTCTTACTGAATACAATTCATTTGAGATTCATGCAGGTTCTTTTGTGTATCATACCTCATTTTTTATTACTGAGGAGTATTCTGTTGTATGGATGTGCCAGTTCATTTACCAATTGAAGGATGTTTGGATTGTTTCCAGTTTGGGGGGGAATCATGATTATGAATAAAGCTGCTATAAACATTCATGTACAGGTTTTTGTGTGAGCTGAAGTTTTCATTTCTCTTGGGTAGATAACGAAGTGGGATTGCTGAGTTATGTGGCAACTCTAACTTTATAGAAACTACTAAACAATTTTTTAAGAGTGGCTGTACTATTTTATTCATACCATCAACATATGAGAGTTCCAGTTGCTCCATGTCCTTGTCAACACTTGGCTGTTGTCAAGTTTTTTTTTTAAATTTAGTCATTTTAAAATGTATGTAATGATATCTCATTAAAGATGTACAGATGGCCATTAGACACATGAAAGGTTTTCAGCATTGTTAGCCATCAGGAAAATGCAAAACAAAACCGCAGTGAGGTACCACTTGATACCCACTAGATGGGCTATGGTCAAGAGATGGACAGTAATTATGGATAGGATGTGGAAAAATGGGAACCCTCATACACCACTGATGAGAATGTGGAATGGTGCAGCTGCTGTGGAAGACGGTCTTGACAGTTGCTCAAACGGTTAAACAGATCCAGCACCTCCATTCCTAGGTATTATCCAAAAGAATAGAAACATGTCCAAACAAAAACTTGCACATGAAATTTTATAACCGCATTAGTCATAAAAAGCCAAAAAATGGGAACAACTCAAATGTCTACTAATTGATGAATGGATAAGTAAAATAGAGTTTAACTATAGGATTGAAATATTGATACATGCTACAACGTGGGTGAACCTTTTTTTTTTTAATTTGTTTCCAGTGCAAAAAGGTGGTTTTATTAAAGTACAGGGAGAGGACCCATGGGCAGAAAGAGCTGCCCATGGATGAACCTTTAAAGCCTCCTGCTAGGTGAAAGAAGTCAGTTGCACAGGACCATATATTGTATGATTCCATTTATTGAAATGTGTAGAATAGGCAAATGTAGAGAGACAGTAGATTGGTGGTTACCTGGAGTTGATGGACAATGGGGGATTAGGTTGGTTATGGGTGTGGTTTCATTTGAATGTAATGAGAATGTTCTAAAATTGATTGTGCCAATGGATGACAACTCTGTAAATGTACTAAAAGTAATTGAAATGTACACTTTGAATTGTATGGTATGTTAACTGAAATGCTGTTAAAAATCACTTTTAAGTGTACAATTTTTAGTGAATGTACAGAAATGTTGCAACATCACGGTTTTAGAACGTTTTTTATCACACCAGAAAAGATCCTTTGCGCTTGTTTGCAGTTAATACATATTCATACCCCAACCCCAGGCAGCCACTAATCTGCTTTCTATCTCTATAGATTTGCCTTTTTGGTATATTTCATATAAATAGTATCCTATATCTTTGCACCTACCTTCTTTTACTTGGGTTTCAGTTTCTCCACATCCTCGGTGACACTTGTTACTGTCTGTATTTATTATAGCCATTCTAGTAGGTGTGTATTTATATTTCATAATGGTTTTAATTTGCATTTTCCTAATGACTAGTGATGTTGAACATCTTTGTAGCTTATTAGCCATTCCTATATCTTTGGTAAAATGTGTAGTCAAATCATTCGGGCAATTTTTTAGTTGTGTTTTTTTATTGTTGACTTTTTTTTTTTAAGATTTTATTTATTTATTTGACAGAGACAGCGAGAGCAGGAACACAAGCAGGGGGAGTGGGAGAGGGAGAAGCAGGCCTCCCGCGGAGCAGGGAGCCCGATGTGGGACTCGATCCCAGGACCCTGAGACCATGACCTGAGCCGAAGGCAGACGCTTAACGACTGAGCCACCCAGGCGCCCTATTGTTGACTTTTGAGAATTCTTTTTATACTTTTGATACAAAGATTTTTAGTCAGTTGGGATATATTAATATTTTCTTCCAATCTGTGGCTTGCATTTTCATTTTCTAACGGTGTCATTTGCAGAGCAAAAGTCTTTAATTTTGATAAAGTCTAATTACTCATTTTATATCTAAGAACTCTGCCTGACTCAAGGTCTTGAAGATTTTCTTCTATGCTTTCTTCCAAAAGTTTTGAAATTTTGGTCACATTTAGGCCTTTGATCCATTTTAATTATTGTATAAGATGGGAGGTATAGGCTAAAGAAAATTTTTTTATATATGAATGCCATTGTGTAGCACCATTTGATGAAAATACTGTTTTTGTTGAACTACTCTTGAACCTTTGTCAATAATCCATTAGCCATATTTGTGTTGGTCTTTCTGTGTACTTCTCTTTCCTCTTTTTTTTTCTTCTCTTTTTGTCGTCTTTAATTTTTGTTTACTGCTCTTTCTTGTATTACTTTTCTAGTTGTTTTTCCTCTCCCAGTTTTTCCTTTTATTCCTTTCATCAAAATGAAGTATGTAGATTAGTATTTTTTTTTAAAGATTTATTTATTTGAGAGAGCGAGAATGAGAGAGAGTACATGAGGGGGGGGGGTCAGAGGGAGAAGCAGGCTCCCTGCTCAGCAAGGAGCCCGATGTGGGACTCGATCCTGGGACTCCGGGATCATGACCTGAGCCGAAGGCAGTTGCCCAACCAACTGAGCCACTCAGGCGCCCTGTAGATTAGTATTAATTGAAGTTTTATGTACCTTATTTTTAGTTTCAGTAGCAATAAATATGAATTGGCATTTTTTTCTCGAAGTAAAAACTGCCAAAAATGAGTTAACTTATTCTCAGTGAATTTGTGGCCTTAGAAAAAGATGGTGATCCCTCTTCCCAAACCATGTTTCAGGACTTTTTCAAAAGGCATAATTTCCCTAGTGTTCTGGTTTCCTTAAAAAAGAAATTAATTACGGTAATTTCAAATAAAGGAAGTCAAGATTTTATTTTTTACCATGATTTTATTTCATTCCTATTTTATTATCGATACTTTTTTCTATAGGCAGGGCAGTCATGATAGCTACTGGATCCACAGATACAAGAAAAACAGTTTTCAAAAGCAGCTTAATTTTGCAACTTCTCCAAAGCCAACTTTGGGTCTGTTTAACACTTAAGAAAGGCATTTAAATAAAAGACACTTGACAGTGGAATCAAGTAATGCAAGTGATCAGTCTTGTTTTTGAACCTTCAAATACAGCTGTATTTACTTAGGTTTTCTTAGAATCCAGAGTAGTTTTTCCAGAAAATTGTCCTAATAATACATGGAAATACTCTCATGTTCAACAGCTCTAATGCTGTGCCACAGCATTTTAAATGTAGTCTGTTAGAAAGTTTGTGGGTAAGACATTTTCTTTTATGCTGCTTCAGTTTAAACTTTCATTGTTGCCAGTTTTTAAGAAACACTTTTTGCATTTTCTCTTTTTGTTAATGCTATACAATAATTTGGGGGTATTAGTCAAGAATTGTATCTGTTTTCTAGTATAGTTAATGGATTTAGTTTCTGTGATCCTAGCAGAGAGTTGTTATTATCTAGGAGAACCAAATGAAATTACTTAAAACTCCTTACCTGAAATAACTAGGCAATTGCTTTGGCACTTTATTTTGCTTGAACTGTGATCTTAGCCCCTATAGATCAAGGGCGCCTCCAGCCCCTGACTTTCTTAGTTTTTGAAGATCTTAATACAGAAGTTCAGTAGTTAATTAGGTTTATAATTTTTTCTCTCGTCTACATGAAATTATGAGGGGAGCAGGGAACTTGGGCAGAGACTGTAGTTAAAAATTTGGGGCAGAAATCTTAAAGCGACATAATGTGGGCCAGGCTGCATCATATACACCTGAGTCTTGTTGCAGTCTCATCGCAGCCTCGTGCAGCAGTTGCCCTGAGTTAAGCTGCAAACTCGGCTTCTTTTTGGTCCCAAAGCTCAGCTGCTTGTGCATATTTCTCTCAACCTTGGGCTGATTGCATTAATCCCATCCTTCCCCAACAAGGTAGCTCCCCAAGTGCCTTCTCCCATGTCTTCTCAAGTCCAGTTCTCTATTCCTAGGAGCATCGGCTCTTCCTCTTCTTTTCACAGGGTCCCGACTTGTCCCGGGCAAGCCAGCCCTTTGCTTCTGCTCCTGAGAAGTGCCAAGATTCTGCAGCGCTGACTCCAACTGCCTTCTCATCCCTAGACTTTGGGCTGCTTTCCGGATACCTGCATAAGCAAGCCCTTGTCACTGCTACCCATTCCTACCTGCATCCTGCTTTTTCCTTCTTGCCACATTTGTGTTCCTTTCTCCCCTTCCCCACCTCCACCCCTGGCAAAATGCATAAAGGATGGAAAAAGTACAGCGGCCAGAAGTCTCTGAATGAGGCATCAATGGATGACTATTTAGGCAGCTTAGGGCTGTTTCGAAAGCTGACTGCCAAGGATGCCTCTTGCCTCTTTCGGGCTATTTCGGAGCAGGTAAAAGGACAACAAATATATCTTCCCTATACTGAGTTTTCAGGGTTTGACACATGGCATGGTACTGGAGCTAGAAGACCTGGAGCCCACCAGAAAAAAAAAAATCCCTTTTCTCTTTTCTAGTAAAGATACCCAGGCCTGTCTGCCACTTACTACTAGCTTGGCGTATGCCTTTGCTGATTGAGTCCAGATATATTGCTGTGCCTTTGCTGTCTTTTTCTGTTTTCTAAATGCCATTTGGAATGTAAGATAAGAATGGAATTACAGAAAACTTTGAAATGAATCTTGATCCTTTATAAGCAGCCCCTACTTTTCTAAATTTAGTGCCTAAGGAAAAATTTATAGGTTGTGCCCATAAGGACTAGAAAAAGGGTGGTAAAGGGTGCCCCAGTAAAGATGGCAAAAAGATTTTAGTAAGATCAGGACTTAATTTCCTACATATGTTTCGAATAAGGGGAACTTAGTGCCCAGTTCATTTTAATTTAAAAGCTGTTTCAAATGACTGTTGACAGCTGGTCTTTCTCTTTTTAGTTGTTTTGCAGCCAGGTCCATCATTTGGAAATCAGGAAGGCTTGTGTCTCATATATGAGAGAAAATCAACAAACTTTTGAGTCTGTAAGTAGAATATATAACGCAAGGTAGAGATGTTAGTAGAGTGTGTAGCAAATGGGAAATGAATTTTGAGCCATCTACATAATGAAAATTAGGTCCTGCAATCTCCTCTCAGTAGCAAATACTTAATTTTCAGCTGTCTTCCCCTAGCTAGCATGCTTCTGGACCACCTCCAGAATAAGATTGTTCTGTACTCCAATTAAAAGTTAAGAAAAAACAGTTCATCTGTATCCTTCCCACTACTTTCTACTCCCCACATACTGCCCATAATCTGGCAAGCCCTAAAAAGTTACATTTTGACTACTGTTCTATATTATCCATACCACTGTTTTCTTGAATCAAGTAATCATAGGTCTCAAAGTTTGGCTATGTTAATATTTTTAAATGTATACTTCCAAGTATGTATAAATGGGAAACCCCTCTGTCCTCTTAATTCTGTACACAATGATCTTCAGCCAATATGAAGAGTCTTATAAAACCTAATTGTAAGGAAACAAATTAGGTTCCAGCATTTATCTTCATGTGACAAACTGGTAATTGGTGCTCTGCCACTAATGATTGGCTTTAAAACAACTTCTAGAAGACATGTTTGAATACTCTGAAATATTTGAATTCTTGTTAATGGAATGAGGTTTTATCAAGGTCTGATTTGTATTGTGCCCTTTTGTGTGGCTTAAAAAAAAAACATTCTTAGCCCTTCCAGTACTATTTGTTTTTTTCTGACTGTATATTATGGGTATTTGCCTGCTGTTCGAGGTTTACTCTTAATTTTCTCAACAGGTTTCAGTGAATTTTAAAACTATGTGACGGCTTCTTGACTTTAAAGCTTATTACCTAGGAGTTAATTACACTCTTTACTACATCTGGGGAAAGGATTATTCATGAAATTACTTCAAATGCAAGACCATGATGTAAAACAGTGCATCTCAAGTATTTTTGTGCATACAAATCACCTGGGGATCTTGTTAAAATGCAGATTCTTATTCAGTAGGTCTGAGCTGGGGCCCGAGATTTCTGCATTTTAACAGAACTCCCACGTGATGCTTGCTCTTGTTCATGATACAGTAATAGTAACCACATTTTGAGTAACAAAAAAGATTTGTGTAAAGTTTTAAAACTTACATGGATAAATGTCAAAATAATTATGCCAAATGAGAGAAGGTAGACCCTCCCCCAAAGTACGATTTCCTTTATATAAAACTCTAGAAAATGCAAGCCAGTCTCTAGTGATAGAAAGCAGATCAGTGGTTGCGTGGGGGTCAGTAGAGTTATAGAGGGACACAAGGAAACTTAGGTGTGTGATGGATCTATTCACTATCACAATTGTCATGATGGTTTCCTAGATGCATACATACGTCAAAATGTATTTGTGCCATTTAAATATGAGCAGTTTGTTGTATGTCAGTTATACCTCAAGCTGTTTAAAAAGGGATTGAGAAAAATTAAAAAACTTTGTCTAATGATATATGTACGTGGAACTAGACATATATTCTGTTCCCCAAGTTTAATTTTATTTTTATTGAGGTATATTTTACACACAATAAAATTCACCCTTTTAAGTTTAGCACTTTCAGTTTTGGCAATCATATTGTTATGCAACCGCCACTGCAATCAAGATTTACCCCGAGAAGTTCCCTTGTGCCCTGGGCTTTTCTGAAACTAATAAAATTCCCTAGTAAAGTTCCTCAGTTTAACTTTGCAAATGCATGTCTCCTATCAGATTTAAAATCCTTATAATTATTGGGCTTGCATGATTTATGAAAATTGTCAAGTTAAATTGGCATTTCAAAAGAAACTCAAAGGTGTTATATTTGATGAAATGCACTGGTATGTGGATCAGCCAGACCATTTCCTAAGATAGTTTTATAGTCCAGCTTTTCTCCACTCATAACTTCTTTGTATGTGCAAATCTTCTTGAGGTGCTGTGCAAAATAGTAATTTAATACCATAATTATTGAGCTGAACAAAAACCCATTGGAGGATAGTATTGCAGAATATAATCAGATTTTAGTAATGCTATGTATTTGGTTAAGTCAAGTTTGTTTTATTTTTGAAGTATGTGGAGGGATCTTTTGAGAAATACCTGGAACGGTTGGGAGATCCCAAGGTAAGATCAAATATGGGGGTTTAATCTTTTCAGAGTATTATGGAATAGTAAACCTAAATATTCATTCATCTGTGTCGCTTTAGTCGCAACCTATTTTCTTAAGTAGCCAGCTGTGTTGAATCAAATAGTTCTTGGAAAAGTTTATAGAGGCTGGCAATTGACCTATTGTTTTGTATTGAATGTTGAGAATTGTGTGTCAGCAATTTTATCATCCATAGACTGTTTGCAAACAGGACAAGCCTAAGCCTTTTCACTTTAATGGGGGAGGAGGGATAGTAATGTTACTAGGAGGTCATTATTTTTTTATTCAAAAGTTCACCTGAATTGTAGTTACCTTTTATGTAGAAGTAAGCTCTATAAACACATATTTAATTAAAAATAATTTATATGATTAATTCCGTAGTTCTGGACTTCGCATTTACTAAGTACCCTGCTAACTTCATATTCTTAACATTAATTCCATTTTTATTGTGCCTTTTAAATCTTTCATATTACCTGTCCTTGTTGCTTAATAGGTACCTGAGAAGGTCTTTAGGACTATTTTTTTTTCAGAATGTTAATGAGTAACACTATCCCAAACCTCAAAACAAGTTAATAGTGTGTTCTGCAAATTCTTCATCTAAAACAGTGCTAAGCATCTAAAATAACAATGTTGAACTTGAAGAAACTTTTATATCCTAGCTACAGAATGTTTTTAAAAAGTTTATGTACTACTTATGTTTAGGAAAGTGCTGGCCAGCTGGAAATAAGAGCTCTTTCTCTAATTTATAAGTAAGTTAAATCTGTTTTTAAAGACTGTGTATGTGTGATTGTGTGTAAAGTTTCTTTTCAAGTCTCTTTAAAATTTGGGAAATTTGGATTTAATGTAATACGTAGAACGAAGGAGGTCTAAGCATAGTTAATTGGTGTTAATTTTTAGGTGGAGAGCCTCTAGCATTTGTGTCCATTTGAACGAAATAAAGGACTTAAGAACTGCTAGTGTTCCTGTAGGAAATCAGAATGTGTTTCTTAGAATTCTTGTGTATTTAACTTTGTGCCTCTTGCATGTGTCTTCACTGGGGCAGTATAGCTTCTAAGAGGGTAGAAATTGGTTCTTCAAGACAAAAAGATAATTAGATACTACAGTGCTTCAAAGGGTACGGTACCTAAACAGGTACACAGTATATCTGTGGTATTAAAATTTCAGAGGGAAATTATGAAAAGTAAAAAGGCTTTCTAAGGATGATAATGGAACATTTTGAGAAACATTGCTCTATCACATTGGTCTTTAAGAGAGCAAAAGTGGCATTTCTGGAAGCTGTGCAGTTTTGAAAAATAGTTATATAAGGTAGGTTAGAGGCTAGTGGGACTCTTGTTCATCTGAGGAAGTTGATTTCTATATGTAAGACTCTTCACAATTTTTAGGATGGTGAGGTGGCATATACAGTAGAGTCCAAACCTTCTCATTGTGGTACTCCTTCAAGTTAGTGTTTTGCAGCCTGCTCATTTCTCACTAAATCCATCAAGAAGTCATATAGAAGAGGCATTGGACAGGTAGCTAATCAGTTGTTGCTTTTAAGGGCCAGCTTTTATTTTTTTATTTTTTATTTATTTTTAAAGATTTTATTTATTTATTTGACAGAGAGAGACACAGTGAGAGAGGGCACACAAGCAGGGAGAGTGGGAGAGGGAGAAGCAGGCTTCCCGCAGAGCAGAGAGCCCAATGCGGGGCTCGATCAAGGGCTAGCTTTTAAATTGGCCTTCTTTGTATTTATGTATGGCCCTCGAGCTAAGAATTTTTAAAAAGTTGTTTTTTTAAAGATCTTATTTATTTATTTGACAGAGATAGCGAGAGCAGGAACACAAGCAGGGGGAATGGGAGAGGGAGAAGCCGGCTTCCTGCCGAGCAGGGAGCCCGATGTGGGACTCGATCCCAGGACCCTGGGATCATGACCTGAGCCCAAGGCAGACGCTTAACGACTGAGCCACCCAGGCACCCTAAAAAGTTTTTAAATGGTTAAATCAAAAGTAGAATAATGCTTCATGGCATGTGAAAATTATATGAAATTCAAATTTCAGTGTCCATAAGTAAAGTTTTATTGGAACAGTCATGTATACTTGTTTATCATGGTCTGTGGCTGCTTTCTTGCTACAAAGTCAAAGTTGAATGAACCATATGGCCTGCAAAAGCTGAAACACTTATTATCTGGTCTTTTACCAAGTAAAATTTGCCGGTCCATGCTTTAAATAAGTGGGGAGCCAACGTACAGCTGGTAGTCTTATCTTCTTTACTCCTCCTTTCCCCAAATTAAGGTACATTTTAAAAATCCATGGACCTTTAGGGGCAGTTAGCTGTCTACTTTGAATTAACATTTAGCCTCTTAAACATTTGGATTATTTTGTATGCATAAGGTGGACAGTTTAAAAGCCCACATACTTGTTCTTATAACTATCTCTTGCATATACTAAATTATCTCTTTTCAACCACCTACGTTTTCTACCCATGTAGTCGGGATTTCATTCTTTATCGCTATCCCGGAAAGCCTCCAACTTATGTCACAGATAATGGCTATGAAGACAAGGTAAGAAGATGAGCGTTTACTAGAATAAAATAAATTGATGCTACTGGCTTACCAAGATAGTAAGAAATCATCCTTTGTTACCAAATTAATGGGAATAAAAGCATAGTCTAAATGCCAAGCTTCTGTCACTAGCCTTTTCCTCTCCATTCAGTTATCCTCAGTGTTGTTAGCCACCCTTCTGAACAGATCTGATCTTAGCACTCCTGTAATAGGTTAAAAAAAAACAACCAACAACCCAAAACCATAATTGGCTCCTTGTTGACTAGAAGATAAGGTTCAAACTTGGGAAGTTAGGCATTTAATCCCTTAAAGGGTCCCAAACCTTTTCATCTTCATTGTCCCGCAACTTTAATATACCATTATTCCAGATAGTCTGGTTTTTATACTTTTTTTCTTTTCCTTTGTATCTCAAATGTTAATTCCTTTGAAACTTTCCCAACTCCCCTGGAGTTATTTCCTCTCTATGTGTTCCTCTAGTATCACCCAAGTAATTACAGCATTTATCACATTGTGTTTGTTTTCATGTCTATTTCTCTCATTCTGAAAGTTTCTTGAGGACAGGACAGTGTGCTATTACTGCCTAGTAAGGTACTTGGAAAATAGTAGGAGGTTGTTTTGTTGGTTGAGAACTCTTGGCAGTTAAACAGATTGTTCTGCAGCATATAATTTTTCTTCCAAAGAGTTTTCAGAAAAGCTTTTATCCTGATTATTTGATTAGTGAGTATAGACTATACAGTAATTGCATTTTGCAAGTCTTGTTTCACACGGTGGACCATAATTCAGGCAACGTTTTGATGATCATTAAGACAAGACTAGACATTGGGAGAACTGTTAGGATGTTAAAGTAATCTAGACAACAAAAGACCTGAACCAGGCAAGTGGCATTAGGAGTAGAGTAGAATGCAAGAGAAAACTTAGAAAATAAGTATAAATTGGGGCACCTTGTTTTATCAGTGGTACTGCCATCTAATTTGTTTGGCAACATTAAGCCCCTGTAATGTACCAGGTACTTCACTGGGCTTTGGGGACACCAAAATGAATACAACATGCTTATTCTCCAAGGGCCTAACAGACTATGAAGACAGACATGCAAATAGTTAATTTTACAGTGAAGTGGTAAGTTTTATAATAGAAGTATGTACAAAGAACATAGAAGAAAAAGTCCTTCTCTCTGCTTGAGAGAGTTTAGAAAGTTTCCTGGTGATAGTGGTATTTAAGTGGAATATCAAACAATGAGTCCAACAAGTATGAAGGGCAATCTATTCAGAGGAGTTGTACAAAGACATGGAAGCAGCAGATGCTTTCGGACTCAAGTAGTTGGTTGGGGGAGAGGCCAATGCTGTAAAGATAGGCTAGAGTTACATAATGAGCGGACCGTGCCAAGAATTTGGCTTTTCGGAATAGTTGTAGCTTTTTTTCCCAATATTTTATTATAAAGATTTTTAAAAATACAGAAAAGCTAAAAGAATTTTATGGTGAACATTCTAATTCCCACCACTTTTAGTATCCTTATTTTATCACCTATCTATCCATTCATCAATCCATCTTAATTTCTGGTGTATTTTATTTTTAAAGATTTATTTTTTTAAAGATTTTATTTATTTGACAGAGAGAGACACAGCGAGAGAGGGAACACAAGCAGGGGGAGTGGGAGAGGGAGAAGCAGGCTTCCCGCAGAGCAGGGAGCCCGATGTAGGGCTCGACCCCAGGACCCTAAGATCATGACCTGAGCCGAAGGCAGACGCTTAATGACTGAGCCACCCAGGTGCCCCTCTGGTGTATTTTAAAGTAAATTTCAGACATTCAGTACAATTGCTTCTAAACACTCATTCATAGATTTTAAGCAAGGATGTGACATAATCAGAATTCTTTGAGGAAGGAAGAGTGGTAGCTTTTGTTGTTGTTTTTTTTTTTTTTTAAAGATTTTAATTATTTGACAGAGCACAAGCAGAAGGAGAGAGGGAGAAGCAGGCTCCCTGCTGAGCAAGGAGCCTGATCTGGGACTCGATCCCAGGACCCTGGGATTATGACCCGGGCCGAAGGCAGCCGCTTAACTGACTGAGCCACCCAGTCATCCCGAGTGGTAGCTTTTGTATTTTAGCAATTATATACAGCATTGCCGGAGAAGAGATTTAGACATTTAGACCTTTACCAGGACTCTAAACCTGCAATTCAGTTTTTTTCCCTGATACTTTATTCTGTGAAAATTTTCACATAGAGAAAAATTAAAAGACTTGTATAGTTGAACATTCATAATCCCTATCACCTAGTTCCTACAGTTGTACATCTCCATTTTTAAATGAGTCCTGTATATTTTACAGAGATATTATTGAGCTAGTTAAGGGGAAAACCTCATCCATTGGGAACCATAAGAATACAAAATGTATAAGACCTTTTGAGTGTGTTCAGCCATGAGAATATCATGTATAACTCTAATCTGTACATGCATACAAAGCTAATACTTATCAGCACTTGGGCATTTGCATGCACAGGATAATGTGTATATGTATGATTTGCAAATGTATAAAGTATGTTTGTTCATCTTGAAATTTAAATATGAAAAAGCCAGTTGGCAGCAGGGTACTTGTGTGACACCTTGCTTTGTCAAAAACTTAGTTGCTGTTTCTCAGTTCAGGCTCAGTTCAAAAATGACTTTATTAAAAGCAGTAAACATTATTGACTTAACTTTGCATTTTACATAGTTATTCAGTATCAAAGTGAATGCCATTGGAAGGTAGCCATCCATCTTCACTTAGCCTCTTTACCTAGAAAGATATACTTCTATTAAAAACAAAACTTAAATCTGAAAGGTAGAATAAAAAGCCCTCATTCATGCTTTTCAATCTCCTGTGCTTCAAAATAACAACTATTAAGTTTGAGTGGGTATCCTATATCATTCTCTTTGCATTTATTTTTTCTCTCTCTTTTTTTTTTAATTATTTATTTATTCATGAGAGGAGAGAAGCAGAGGGAGAAGCAGGCTCCCAAGGAGCAGGGAGCCCGATGCGGGACTCAATCCCAGGACCCTGGGATCATGACCCGAGCCGAAGGCAGACGCTCAACCATCTGAGCCACCCAGGCGCCCTGCATTTATTTTTTTAATATAGATGGGCTCATACTAAATATATTGTTACTTGTTCTTTTCACCTATCCTTATCAGTAATACAGATCTACCTCATTTTTTTCACTAGTTTAATGCCCTGACATCCCACTTAACCTACCCACAAGTGTGTATCAGAGAACTGTTATTTTATGTTGGGATATCCCCAGGAACATAAAAGCCATCATGTCTAGTTTACCTCTTACAATCAAAATGGAACTTGCCACATGAATAAATTACACCATTATCTCTGGGGTTTTTTTTCCTGCTTATTTATTCAGTTCTGGTTAGCTGGATTCCTTTACTCAACAACTGCCACCAGTTATTTACCTTTCTTAGTTGGAGTTTCAAGTTTTTCCAGTCCAAGGTACAAAGGGCTTCTCTGCTCAAAATCTGTTCGCTGTTCTTTTGGATTAATAAACTCTTAAAGGCAAATACCCCTTGGGGCGTGTGATACTTCATAACTTAAACTTTACTGTGAGTTAACTTCAGCTTGACGCTTGCCTTCAGTACTCTGAAATGAATTATATTGATGGAGTTGGAATTGTGATTTCAAGAAAAAGCGGGGGAAGAATAACAGACTTGAGATAGAGAACTTTATTACTGGAAGGAGTAAGCCCAGAGTAGGTAGAAAGGCAGCAAACAGGGTGCTTATAGTTTTCTGCCAAAGAAGCTTGGTGGCAACATCCTCCTATAGAACAGAGAGAATCATCTTTGGTACCTTAGGTTCCTGGTACCAGAGGTGGCTTCAAAATAAAATAGACTTAATTGCTAGGTGTTAATCCTTTACACAAGACAGGTTTTTGAACAAAAATTTTTTTAAAAGGCTTTGATGCTGTTATTCAAACACATTTCATTATATAGAGCCCATAGGCATTTTTAAAAAAATACTTTGGTTAGTAAGCTTGGCTTTGGATTGTTGTTTGGGAAAACTAGAGATTAAAGATCAAAGAAATTAACTCATTTTGTAGACATCTCAGTTCTTAATTCATTAAGGAAGTCTCTTTAGCGGTATTGCTCCTATATGGTGTATTCATATATTGCTACTTAGTGCAAGGGATAACATTTTGAATAAATTAAGTCTCTCCCCCTATAGTCTTGAGTTTAGAGTATTTGGGTATTTGACCTAATTTTTCCAGTCATTTTTTGAAGTTAAGCTGGGTCTTTTGACTTCTGTTAGGATTTCTAGTAGATTTACTCGTCAGTTTATAAAAGTTCCCATCTTTTTGCAAATTTGTAGATCAGTACTTGTGTGGTATATTCAATGGGAATGTGATTTAGGCTCACAGTGTAGCCTTAGTAGTGATTTTAATCTTGGCATTTAAAAGTCACTTTCAAGAAAATCCCTTTGACTTCTAGCTTACCATTTATCTGTATTTAAATTTAAAAAAAATCACTTTGCCTCAGCTTTCTTGAGACATCATGTTAAGTGAAATGAGTCAAAAGTAGTGTATGATATCACTTAATCTGTGGAATCTAAAAAAGTCATGTTTTTAAAAACAGTTATCAGTTTCTAGTTAGCGATTTAATTTCAGGTATTTCATGGTTGTAAGATGTGTAACATTTACTTAATTCTGTGTGTTTTTCTTTTCTTCAGATTCTACTCTGCTATTCAAGTAATGGCCATTATGATTCAGTATACTCGAAACAATTTCAGTCAAGTGCAGCTGTTTGTCAGGGTATGTGAAGGGTGTATAAATGCTTAGGTGTATTTCAGATGATTTTTTTTTGCCCATCTTTAAATTGAAGGACCCGCCACAAATAGCTCTTTAAAGACTTTGTTCATACCTCTTGAAATTGTATACTGGTTTATGGCTATTTTCACATTGTTATAAAGAGATCTTAATTTGACAGTTGGAGTTTTGGCTCTTTTTTCCTTTAGCTGTATTGTATGAAATTCTCTATAAAGATGTGTTTGTTGTGGACGAAGAAGAGTTGAAGACTGCAGTTGAATTGTTTCGAAGTGGTTCCAAAAAGAACAGAAACAATGCTCTGACTGGCAGTGAAGATGTCCATATTGACTACAAGAGTTCAGCTCAGGATAGGTAATGCAGGGAAAGGGGATGTCAACTACATGATCATGTTTCTGTGCATCATCATCTGCAAGTGGAAGGGGCTTGACAAGTTTATAACTTACACTACACACACATATGTATATGGATATACATTTTTTAATGGGGGAAGAGAAATTTTACCAAGAAGATATGTTGTATTTTGAGATGTTCAGGAATTGGAGGTTTGATCCAAGTCAGAATCAGTTTTTTTATTGCTGGAGGTGACTTTAGAACTGCCTAACCCCATGATTCTCAAACTTCAGTTGTATACAAAGGTATACTTTACAGTGCTTGTTAGGCATATTCTTGGGGCTACTTTTATAAAATTTGAGGTCACAGTGGGGCTAGAAATCTTTTTTTTAAACAAGTACACCCCAAGTGTTCTCATGGAGGTAGGCTGTGGACCTGGACCATACTTTTGAGAAAAAACTAATTCTAAACCAGCACCATCATTTTGTTGGTAACTGAGGTTCCACAGTGGTTGCTTGACACATACATCCAACTAGTAGAAAAGAATATCTCAGGCTAAGGGAAGTTTTAGGGGCTTTTGAGTGTCTACCTTTGGTACTCACTAGGAAGGTAGTTTGTGGCCTCTGAGGAAACTGTTAATAACAGATTTGGTCAAAAATTTTGTGTTAGAGATAATAAAGTAGGCATTGTCTTGTATTTATTCTTGATTCCTACTTCTGTCTAGGAAATTCAGATAGGCTTGGTGCCAGTCAGGTGTCACCTTGTCTTTTTGTCTTGCTTGCAATTTTATTGCTTGGATATTTGTGGCTTGCAAT